CCTGCTGATTTTGATGATTTTTCCCGTTCCATTCGCATGTAATGTTTTAAGAAGTGATAAGCTGCAAAAGCGAGCCTGGGAAGCGCGCTCTGTCCTGAAGAGCGTGAAGCTGAAAGCTTTGCTCTGACTGACGCTTCCCTGCGTGCTTGCTCTGTGTGTCTGGGTAGCTCTGCCGAAGTCCCAGGGCTACACGGGTGCTCACCCTGTCCGGCTGCGTACTGTTTCGTGATGTCGCGATGGCTGGGAGCGCAGGAGTCCCCGCTGCAATGAGGTGGGCATGGCAGGGTGTGCTTTTGAGGTCCTTTTAAGATCGTGATACTGTTCTCTGTGGCTTTACCCATTTGCGTGGCAGGCTGGGGAGTTCTCAGAGCTGCAGAGATCCTGGCAGAAGGAGCAGAGGACAGTAAGCAAGTGCTTTTTTATGAGGGCTGTTTGAAGAGCACTTCCCTGCCCTCCCCAGTCCCGTTTGGTACCCCTGCCCTCCCTCCCCAGTGCTTTGTCTCTGTGAAGTGGTCTGTCTTTTGTGCTTGTCTCGGGGGTCACACCCTTAGCGTCTTTCCTCTGATTTTCAGTCGCCCCTTCTTCCCTGCCTTAGTGAGAGGCCAGATTTGTCTTCCCAGTATCGTTTGTCACCTTGTGGGAAATGCCGAGGTGGGTGAGGCTGCAGGCCTGAGATACGTACGGGCTGTGATGCATGTCTTCTCTCGGCTTTCCAAGGCCTCCGAGACCAGCGACTGTGGGGAGGACTTGCGAGTCTCCAGCCGCTAGGACGATGAGCTGATCCTGCCCGTGGTGAGTCCCGAAAAGCTCCTTGTCCCGTGGGTGTGGGCTGCGCATTCCCAGTCCGTGCTGTGCCCGCGTCTCGCACTCCGCCTGCCGAGCCCTGCGCTGCTGCGCGACGACCTTACGGCCTGGCACAGGCCAGCAGCCCCGTCCGGCGCGTAGCAGGCTCTGTCGGTGGGTGAAGTGACAGCCCTGCAAAAGTAGGTCACTTGGAGCTGGGACCGTGCTCAGATCATTGCAAAAAGGAAAATAATGAGCAGTGTAAAAATTATGCTTGAAGGGACTCGGCAGCTTTTGCTAGGGGAGTCTGTATGGGCGGGAGACCTGGCTCCTGAAGAGGAGCGAGAGCACGCGGGAGGGGAGACCCGGGATGGGGGGAGATGCCCGTCAGCATCTCCTCATCCCCACAGGAAGCTGCTGCTGCCATCTGCCAAAAAAGGGAGCGGGGGCGGCAGGGCCAGCAAATGGCTGCGAATATCATTATTTATCGGTGTTAGCGCAAGCCTGCGTGCTGGCGAGGGGCCGCTGCCGCGAACGGTACCCTCTGTGGCACTCGCTTGTGGGCACGTGTGCGCAGGCACGTGCTCCCTGCGCGCAGCTGAGTGCAGGGACCCCCGGGACTCTGCCAGGGTGGAGAATGATCTCGGGGAGTGAATAGCTCGTGGGCAACTCGCACAAGCTGACTCCTAGGAAGAGTCTCAGGAAGCCTGCAGCAGTGCCAGAAACGAGAGCGGCAGAGGCCTGTGAACCTTTGAGGTTGTTCAGATACCCAGTGCTGCAAGAGACGTGCGGTCAGTGGGTGGGTGGGCGCGGATTCCAGCTGTGCTAGGGGTTTGGTCCAGTCGCTCCGGATCTCTGGGAAACCTGCCTGTGCCCGTGGGGCACTGATCCTTCTCTGCTTTCTTCTGTAGGACTTGGGTTTCCAGAGGCAGCTTTCTGAGCGGGTACTGGACGTGGGGGTCCTGTCTCCTGCTTCGGACAGCCCCGTGTGCCAGGTAAGTGCGACGTGTGTGTGAGCAGGGACCAACCTGTGAGCAGGCAGGGCCAAACGCTGTGCCGTGGTGCGCTCGTCGCGGGGTGATGCTGTCGGCGTAACGGCTTGGCAGAGGCGAGCAGAAGCGATGTGTTAAGTGCCAGGGCGTAGAGCAGCGTCACTAGTGCCTTGTTTTTTCTGCAGAGGCGAGGTGCGGGTAGCTACACAAAGAATGTAAGCTTTGAGTAGGGGTGGCTTGTGAGGGGTGCGTGCGTGCAAGCTCACGCGTGTACTTTCCCTGCCCCGGTACAAGTGCAGACAAACGGCTTTCCCGGGGAATGGCGGGAAGCAGAGCCTATTTTACTTTTTCCCTTTTGTGACTGTATTTGTCCTTTGCTTTCTTTTAAGCAGATGGAAAGGAGTTGTGTAACTGAACACGATAGCATAACTGGGAATGAAAGGGAGGTTAACTCCCTCCGACAGATTTTGGTGTAGGTAAGCTGATTTGTAAGCATTTGGTTGTCTTGCCTGCTTTCATGGAGGGGGAAACCTAGGCTCCTGTCGGAGAGTCTGGCGTGCGAGGGAGTGCAGGTCTGCGTGCGCAGGTCCGCGCTGCCTGTCTTGCGTTAGCCCAGCATGTGGCTGCGGTCGGGCAGTTCTGACTGAGGAAGATCGCAGTGCCTCTGGAGGCTGTGTCCTTGGCTTCTCAGCGTGTTGCTGAGCTGGCTCTCTGAGCCCCACGTTCCTGTGGAGCCCGCTCAGCTCCCCCTCTCTGGCAGCATCTCGGCTCGTCAGCGTGTCGGCTGGAAGGGCGTGCTGCACAGCGCGGCGCAGGGTCGGGCTCCAGCTGGGGGTTTCCCCGCCTTGCTCTGATTGCCCGGCGGG